GGGACCCTCGCGGGGATGCAGGGACCCTCGGGGGATGGACGGACCCTTCAGGGATGCACAGGCCCACAGGGAATGCAGGGACCCTCAGGGGGATGCAGGGCATCTTGGGGGGGGATGCATGACCCAACAGGGGGGATGCACCGCATCTCAGGGGCACGCACAGGCCCATGGGGGGATGCACAGACCCTCAGGGGGATGCACGGCCCAGCACAGGGGATGTGCTGCGCCCCTCAGGAGGGGACTTGCATGGGAGAGCTGCAGCAGGAACCGGGCGCTGGGCGCCGGAGACAGCAAACCTGACCTCTCCAGATGGAAATCCATATGCAGAAAAGAGCCACAGCCCTTGCAAAGGAGCTGAACGAATCCCAACCTTAAATCCTCTCAGAGTCAGCTCAGGACAACCCAACCTGCTGACCCGGGAGCTGCAGACTAGGCACAGCACCAACAGGACCTTCCCGTCCCAACAGCGCCCAGGGAGGAGGCAGGACACAACTGCTTCGGCCAAAGCGCCAGCATGACTGTGCTGGAGCACGGGCAGCCCCACTGGCTCCTGTCCCTGCTCCCACTGCCCGTACCTACCCCTCATCCCTCTCCGTGACACTAACTCTTGCACAGACCTCTAGGAAGCACCTTAAACTCTGCCGAGAGTGGGGCAGAGCAAGATGCACACCAAGGATATTGACCCAAACCACTCTTGCCGCACAGCATCTCCCCGCAGGCTCGGCTACACCAGCACTGAGCTGCCGCCCGGCACCCCCCGCGCTGACCGCAACAGTCAGGGGACTGAGCCGACGTCTCCAGCAGGACCAGGACTCTGGCTCCCAACCACAGTCACGCCAGGTTTCCTTCTGTCTAGCTGATGGCCCCTTAATCCCCGACATCTCCTCTCCCTGGCATCTCCGGTTCCACCTCTTAAATGTCAGCAAATACATACCAGCCCCTGCCTTCCCAGAGCCGACGGCAGCTGAGACCAAAGCAGCAGAAGGGCCACAGGGAACCTCCAAACACGCACAAACAAAACCCAGCGCTCACGGACAGCCCCCAGCCTGACGGATGCACTCCCGTCTGGCACCTCTGGAGCTCCCTGTGCCTGGCACAGCAACGTCCAGGTAAGAAGCAGGATCCTCCTCTGCCGCTCCCCAGCCGGGGTGCCAGCACGGGCAGCCGTCACCGCAGCGGCTCTGCCGTCGCCAGTGCCGTGAGGATGGAGGCAGGAGGGAGGGAGCACATGCCGCAGGCTCCCAGCTCTGCCTCGCCTTTCCAAAAGGACAACCTGTACCATCTGCAAAAGATTCTGGAGCCCTTTAATCCTGCTGTAAAGCAGAACAAGTCAGTAATCGCCTTTTAATTGCTTTAATTACGTGATTACAAAAAGAAAGAACCAGCAGTGAAAGAGGCGGCCTCCAGCCCTGCCCGTGGAGGCCGGTCCCCCTGCGTGTCCTCAGCCAACGCCACGGCCGGCCTCTGCCCCGGCCGCAGC